GTAATTGATACTGTTTGAATATTTGGATCAATCCACCCACCTCTAGGCTTTAGCTAGCATGAAAGAACACAACTAGTCCGGCTCTTTAACAAAATCCAACTTTCACGGATCATTAAAGCTTAAATTAAATTAGCACCTTATAGGTTGTTTGTTTTTAGCCACCATTAGGCAAAGTATGTTCCAGACTAAGGCTATGTCTACACTAATCCGGATAAATTTGAAAACAGTGTTTTCGTCTAAAAACGCTCCGCGTCCACAAGATCATTTTCAATCATTTACGAACAGTTGTTCAATTCTTACATCACTGTATTGCACATGCATGAAATGTAAGACGATTTGACCTTTCTGTCTGCCATTTATTTACTTTCCAGATTTTGAAACATTGCTGCAAAATGTTGAGGAAAAGCACAGAGTTTTTTAAATGGACTGACAATGACGTGGTGTACAAAGTTGCAAAAGCGAGTGAGAATTAAAGAATTTGAAGAAAAGCTACCTGGAGCATGTACAAACTGATATTAATCTTCAATAGGGCTGTCAAAATTTCAATCAATTGAGAGCAAACAAAACAGCTGCTGTAATGCCCTCCGCCATCTTAGTTTAATTGGTCACATGACTGCATCATATGATTAAAATGCGTCATCGTTTTCGAAAACCTCCGTTTTTTCGTAGTACACACTGCGATGCAAAAACGTATTTTTCAAATTTATCCACTTTGGAGAGCATTTTCAAAAAGCTCAGGTCTCCTTGACCAAAAACACCATCTCAGTGTGGACGGAAGGCCAAAGCTAAGAGAAAAAGATGCGTTTTCAAACAAAAACGAATTAGTGTGGACATGGCCTTAGAAGAAGTCTGCCACGTAACACCCTTACAACTCTGAATTGCTAATTTTACATTTTAAAACACTTAAACCCCCACGGACTGCCATTTGGCTTTTTCTACCTTTAAAACCCGGAGAGCAGCCAAATGGCTTTTAGCTAGGCTTTAGCTTAAGCCAAGTCATATGTATATTAGGTTGTTACCTTGGAATTCTGGAGGGAGGGGAGTGGGGGTGTGTGATTGAGGGCGTGGGGGAGCTGCTAAAAGCTGTGCACTTCCTTTTGTGTTTCATCTTGATGCATTCTCAATCATCCAGGGAAATAAATCTCCAAAAGTCACCAACTTGGAGTGTTTCAGTTTGCCATCTTAGGGAGAAATCAACACACATGGGTGTATGTCCTTTGTTGCTGAGATTTATTGATAAAAACAGTACAAAAAACCAACCATTTGTACACATATTTACAAATAATAATAAAAAGTGAGTGAGTACAAACAATTCAACATTTTCAGCAATCACTCACAATCCTGGCACTGCCACTAACTGAACTAATGGCATTTATTGCAATTGTGATCTTGCGGGGGGTTTACAGGGTTCCATCTGTAAATGACTGCTGGTCAGCAAACCTGGGAAACCCACAGATAATTGGAACTATGGCACGAAACCGCTTCCAAGACAACATGCAACACCTACGCTTTGATGACAAGTCCACCCGCTGTGATCGAGCAAAGACTGACAAGTTCGCTGCAATTTCCAGTGTGTGGGGATCATTTGTCACCAACTGCATCACGTGCTACAACCCTGGTCTACATATCACCATTGATGAACAGCTTTTCCCATCAAAGACTCGGTGCTGTTTCCTGCAGTATATTGCAAGTAAACCTGACAAGTTTGGGATCAAGTTTTGGGTGGCTTGCGACCTAAAATCCAAGTACATTTGCAATGTCTTCCCATATAATTGTACTCACTCACTTTTTATTATTATTTGTAAATATGTGTACAAATGGTTGGTTTTTTGTACTGTTTTTATCAATAAAACTCAGCAACAAAGGACATACACCCATGTGTGTTGATTTCTCCCTAAGATGGCAAACTGAAACACTCCAAGTTGGTGACATTTTTCGAGATTTATTTCCCTGGATGATTGAGAATGCATCAAGATGAAACACAAAAGGAAGTGCACAGCTTTTAGCAGCTCCCCCACGCCCTCAATCACACACCCCCACTCCCCTCCCTCCAGAATTCCCAGGTAACGACCTAATATACATATGAATGACTAGCCAATTTAGCTTCCACTTGGCTGAAGCTAAAGCTTAGCTAAAAGCCTACCAGCCATTTGGCTGCTCTCGGGTTTTATAGGTAGAAAGGTAGAAGCCTGGGGATGCTAGTTTAAAATGCCGTTTCTTGTACCCAAGTCTTAATGCTAAGCTAAGCTAACTGGCTCCTAGCTCTCGTTTTATACCAAACACACACACCCACACAAACACACATATAGTTTTACCAGCAGCAAGCCTATTTCCCCAAATTCTTAACTGTGCTCTCGGGTTTGGAAACACGTTGTGCTGTTTTCTGTGGATACTGGGAAACACTCCAGGCTCTGTAGCTCACCTACCTTATTACAACTCATACCAGCTGTCTAAGCAAGAGCTTCACTAAACTACTAACAGTCCACCTCCACAGGACAGGACATGAGAACAGGCAAGTTGTGGGAGACAAAATATTCCATGTTGTTTTTAGAAAACTATCAGCATTATGGTAAAGATCAAAAGCAAGCACCTGGAGTGTGTTGTAAGTGCTTAAGAGCCAGATTTTTATCCAACTGCTAAAGACAGGTGATAAAATAAAATAAATGGTTAAGTGCTGGACCACTGTGTCTTGCCAGAACAGCTTTAGTGTTCCCTGGCACTGGTTCTCCAAAGTCTTTACTGGAGGGATAGGCACCATTCACCCAAAAGATATTCCCTCATTGGTTTATTGATGACGATGGTAGAGAGCACCATCTAACACGGTGGTTCAGACATCTGTGTTCACCTGGGTTGACCTGAGTGAGTATGGCCAAAGTATATGATTCATATCATTTCATCCTGTAAGAGACCACTCCCACAACTCTGTTTTTGCAGCGACCCATCTTAATCCACGCCAGCAAAAACTTTGTGAAAGTCTCTTAACTTGAAAGTCTTGGTCACCTATCTGTAGATATGTACATGTGTTTTTGATAAGAAGGGGAAAAAAGCCTGATGCATAAATAGAGAGGCACTGGCTGAAAAAAGGAGGAATGGGTTACCCCTCCCTGAAAATGTCAGGATTTCCTGAACAGGCTCAGGGCCTCGTTAATCTAACGTGGAGGAGAAGTGGCTGTTTTCATGTAAATTTGAATAACACATTGTTTTAATGCGGAGAAGGTTTCCCACTAGCTTTTCCTTTCTGATGCCAGGCCCTTCAGCTCCACAATGACCTGTGTTCCTACTGTATGTAATGCATGAACAAAGCTGGGTGTTGTACATCCTATTTTCTAATTGTGTCTCGATTTGTTTGGTGTTTTATTGCCTGAAGTTTCAAGAGCACCTATCATGCTTTTCCTTATTTTCCGTCACATACAATATGTACTGTTACAGTAGTGGATTCACATATTAAACATGCACAAAGTTTCAAATAATGAGCTCTATGTATGCAAAAATAATCCCTATGTCACAATATCAGGTTCTCAATGTGGTCACAAAAATAGCAGTGTTTTGCAATATCTATATAAAATTACCAATATTGCTATTAGTCAAAGTCTTCTGTGATTTTATAACAAAATATTCACAGCTCAAAAAAAAGAGGAACACATTCAAAAATCATTAGATCTCAACATTTTCATGCACCAGGAGGAATCTTGGACCCACTGCACCAGGGTAGTGTCAAGAATTTCATCCTGATAACTAATGGCAGTCAGGGTGCTGTTGCTTAGTCGGACTGTGAGTCCTTCCATGGATATACCATCACTGACCCACCACCTAACTGGTCGTGCTGAACAGTGTTATAGACAGCATAACATTCTCCACGGCTTCTCCAGACCCTTTCATGTCTGTCACATGTGCTCAGGGTGAACCTGCTCTCATCTATGAAAAGCACAGGGTGCCAGTAGTGCATCCGCCATCTCTGGTATTCTATGGCAAATGCAAATTTGGCTCGGCAAAACGGTGCTGGGCAGTGAGCACAAGGCCCCCTTGGGGATGTTGGTCCCTAGTGTACCCTCTGCCTTATTCAGTTAGTTTTCAGATTGTTTGGTCAGTGACATCCACATCAGTGTCCTGCTGGAGGTCATTCTGTGGCTCTGCCAGTGCTCATCCTATTCACAAAGGAGCAGATATCGATCCAGCTGTTGGGTTAAGGGCCTTCTATGGCTCTGTCCAGCTCTCCCAGAGTAGCTGGAATCTTCTTTATGCTTGAGACGGTGCAGGGGAACATAGCAAACTTTCTGGTAATGGCAGTTATTAATGTGCCAACCTGGAGGAGTTGGACTGCCTTTGAAACCTCGGTAGGGTCCAGAAGTGACAACATTAGGCACCCTAGTCCAATGTAAAACTAGTGAAAACAGTCAGAAATAATGGGGAGGAAAGAAACTTTTTTTTAACAGTGCTCACATGGAGGTGGCGGGTGCGTTGGCATTAAACCATACAAAAAGAAGAACTGCACAATTATTTACAATATAAGTTATTAATAAGTCCATTATCAGAACTTTTCTAGAGTGAATATCCTTTAAATGACTATCTCAGAAACAATCATCCACCTGTGAGCATAGAAGCCCGGCACATATGATGTTCAAAGCTTCTGTGAGGTGTAGCCAATCTGAAGAAAGTTAGCTTGAATGGAGATAAGCTAGCTTGTTTCAGACACAGGAAGAATTACAGAGCTCCACAAAACTGCAAATCATGCAAAGCTACTGTGGCAGAGCAAGAAAAATATGGAGATGAAGAATGAACATAACAATTTGACTTCAAAAGAAGTAACTATCAAACTATCAAGATTAACAATCAAAACATATGAATATTTATATAGATCACGTATTGTAAGATACCTGAACAGTGTAATGATCAGCGGTCCACATCATTATTGTGAATGAGTTTCTACTCGTCGTTCTGACTAGAAAAACCATATCAGATAATAGACAGAAGTCTTTTTTGAAAATAACAGCACTGCTCACCTGGTCTGGCGAAGAGGAATCGGTAATGAGATGCAGAGGAAAGGGTCAAAGGTGTTGCTCTGTTTCAGGCAGTGTGGGCATGTCAGTGAAGATCTGCGGGGACGAAAGAACACAGTCACATTAGTCTCGAAAAAACAGCTGCACTGACTCGACACGGGCTTCCAATTAATCTCAAAGTCCTCCTGATTAAGTCTGGCAGGAAAGGAGATGGCTTAATCTTGTTACACAAGTGAACACCACAGGAAAAGTGTTCACAGTGCTCCATTCAGACGCCTTGATCTGATTGTGAGAAAGGAAAAGATGAGTGATGTAACTGGTGGGAATGAGAGAGAGTCGAGGGATGGAGTGGGGGTTAGAGGTAGTTGAAGCAGCCCCCCTGGGATGATTGGTGCTATAAACGCAAAACAGCAAAAGCGGTTTCCACGCTGTTGCGTCACTTTCGCTGTTCATGTGATGCCATTAAAGGTAGGTGAATTTCCTAAGTTTCCTAAGTACGTCTGAATGCACAGAAAGGAGGGAGTGACTACAACAGCGATTTTTGATTCTGTGGATGGCTTCACTTCTTTCAGTTAATCCCTCTTAATGTCATTGGAAGAAATAGCTTATTCTGGTGAGCTAATTGTCTCAACAATGAGTCAGGGAGCCTACAGAATTTAAAAGCAGGATTGCTGGAAGTGATTTTGTAAACCTCAACTCTCTGTAAACAGATCTAATTATGTGAATGTTCAACAAATTTGAAAAAAAAAAGAAGCAGTACAGATTCAAAAACAGGCGTACTCATACACACTCTTCTAAAGTTACCAATAGAAGACTGAGCCTGTCCATGGTTTTATGGTTTACAGATGAAATGAATAAAATAATATATTCGCACAATGAGCCATCTATACCACCTGCAGTATTTGCTCTATGTGCTGAAATTCAGGCTGTGGTTTTGGTCAGTATGTAGACCAGATTCCTTCAGATTCCTTCCAGTCCAGTTAAAAGTCCAAGTTGTAAACATTCCTCAGAGATTTTGATCCATGACATGATGGCATCACACAATTAAAACCAGGTTGAAATGATTTTGGGTTTGTGACAAACAGGAGAAGAGTACACTGTGGTCATAAAGGGTTGGACATAATCTGCAACAATACTCAGGTAAGCTAACCTATTTAAAGGATATTTAGTTGGTACTAAGTGGCCCAAAGTGTGCCAAAAAATTTCCAACACCATTACATGACCAGCAGCAGCCTGAGCTATTGATCAGGATGGATCCATTCTTTCATATTGTTTACAATATACTTACATCAAATTCTGACCCTGTTATCCAAATCCTGCAACAGAAATCAAGACTCGGACCAGGCAGCATTTTTCCAATCCTATATTGTCTAATACTGGTGAGCCCATGCGAGCTGTAGCCCCAGGTTTCCTGTTCTTAGCTAACAGAAGTAGTCCTCTGCTGCTGTAGATACCAGGTTCAGCACTTTGAGGTTCAATATCCTGTGCATTCAGAGATGTACATACCTTAGTCATAATTAATTATTTGAGTTTCTGTTGCATTCCTGTCAGCTTGAAGCAGTCAGACTCTCCTCTGACTTTTCTCTAAAATACAACAACCATGTTCAAAACCACTCAAATCATCTTTTTTCCCCATCCTGATGCTAAGTTTAAACTTCAGCAGGTCTTCTTGTCCATGTCTGCATGCCTATATGCACTGAGCTGCTGCCATGTGATTAGCTGATTAAACAATAATACATCATCACATCATATTATTTGCTCCTTATAAGATAAATTAAACATACTATATGTATAAAAATATATATTTATAAATATAAATGATAATGACCATCAGAATTTGTAACTTCCATAAACTGCACTCCTGTGCTCAATTCAATAGCTAATTAAAAGCAACAGTTACAGCTGAGCTTCCCCTTTGGCTGCTGTTAGCTCAAAAGTTTAATTTCCAGACTAGCTAGAAAAATTATTTTAGTGTAAAAATTACTAAAAAGTTTCTCAGGAGCACCATTTGACTGTGTTAACATAAAAATGTGTGGTTATACTTTGCAGGTGTTTGGTATGGCTCTGTGTAACTGCTTAAGTGTGACGGACGGTTCTGCTGGGAACATCTGTTCAGCTGTAAACATATTCCCGAGGGTTTTCCTTTCCAGCCGGCACAGGAACCTCACACCACACCGGAAGCGTGCACAGCATGTTTCAATGGAACTATAGTGTTGATCAGTCATTACTCTAATTTATCTTTTCATTTGTATTACTTCAATATCAAAACAACAGAAATAAATCTGTTGAAATAGTGTGGAAAGCACCAGGCAGAACATTAACTAAGAGATTTGTGGGAAATATGTAAGCGTAAGTAGAAGATCTGAAGTTCACATCATGTCTTGATTGAACTGAGGTCACGCTAACGACCTGTGAACCTTTTCCGACCTTAGCACACTCTATGAGAAAGACATAGATAAACTGACCAAATGTGTTTTCCTTACAGAAAGGCACCTGACAGACCCAGTGAGGGAGTAAAGGGAGGTGTGGGAGGCTGGTGAACAAAGCTCTATTCAAACAAGCCCAGCTGACACGGGCTCTTAGTGGATCTCTCCATTTTGGCAGAGTCGAATGGCTGCCCTACGGATGTCTTATTCTCGCCAGGAAACAGTGAGGGCAACCGCACTGCATGCATACAAATCACACTCCGCCTTAGCTAAAACATAGATGTGCCCAGCGCTGCTCTGAAACACTTAGAAAGAAAAAAGCAGCAAAGGAAGAGGTGATATTCTGGTGATGCTCTAATGGAGGAAGCGTGGAAAGGTTGAAAGGTATGTATCCCCTCGTCTGTGATGCAGCCATGCTGAAGAGACTCTTGGCTTGATGCTTTCCTACAGCACAGAGCTTTGAACCTTCCTGAATAACACTTAATTTACTTATCTGCTTCCACTTCATTTTCTTTTCTAAGCAATTAGAAAGAAAACAACTTGGGTTGAAATGAAACGCGCTGGCACCTCATTTTTCTCACTAAGCCTCGTCGCTATCCTCCGCTGGGAGGTGGGGAGCAGTTTATTGACCACGTTAATGTTCTGAAATTGAAAAGGCATGAACCGTAATTTGTGTCTCATAATTCTCTAATTAAAAGTACAATTGAGACATAATAATACTAGAACGAGAGAGTAAGCGAGATCCCTCGGAAAAATTGGCGCCACAGTAAGACGAGCTCCACACTCCCACTGAAACTGCACCATATCTGTAATTTGAAACACTTGACTGACTGTCATTCAGCCTTCATGCGGTGCACACTGCTGGAAAGTCTTTTTTTTTTTTTTTTTTTAACTAACTACAGCTACGGTAACTCACCCACATATAGTAAAAGATTACAATCTTTGATCTAATTTAGGCTTTACTTTATGTGGACCTGTTATTTACATTTTCTGCCATATACATGCTGTTATTATATCAGATGCTCATATTCAACATGGCCAAAGTTTACAGTGTACACCGATCACACATAACATTATGACCAGTGTTGGTCAAGTTACTTGAAAAAAGTAATCAGTAACTAATTACTGATTACTTCCCCAAAAAAGTAATCCCGTTACTTTACTGATTACTTATTTTCAAAAGTAATTAATTACTTAGTTACTTTTTAAAAACACGATTTACAACCTGAATAGGTGATAAAGCGATAGATCTTTCAGCCCAATTCTACTTTTTCTGCATAATCCATCATACAAAATGTAATCAAATGGAAAAGTCTCTTTTTAAAACTTGTTTTATAGTTTTAATCTTTTAACTTTATGCATCAAGCAAAAATTTAATTATATGCAACATTCTCTGACTGGAAGAAATTAGTTTAACATTTAAACCTATTTTCTGCACATTCCAGCACATAAAATAAAATATTTTTTGTGTTTACACTCACTCTTTCAAATAGATGCAAGTAAAACACAGCAGAAAATAAATAAAGTCAAAGACTCAGCGGTCCTGTTGCTCTATTTTCACCTGTAAAGCAGGAGTGAGGCGATAGTTTACCCTGGTGCAGGTGTGCCGCGGTCAGTGGAAGAATCCGCGAGTTTCTCTGTGAGTTTCCCATTACGTCGTAGCGCACTCGGTGCTTGCTTGGAAGTTTAGGGGTTTTTTTCGCTGTAAAAAGAAGTTTTCTTCCCACGCACAACGGACACTAATGTTTTTGTCACTTTTTATGGAATCAAACTCAAAGTAAGGTCAGTACTTCCACGCTTTAAACGCTGCACGCTCATACTCTCTCCTGCACTCATATATGATCCATTGTTGATCTGCACACAGCTGTTGTCACGAACGTCGCACTCGCTTACGTCACTGTCATGAGACATTCTCAAAAAAATCACGGTTTTAGTAACGCAGTTCAGCGTTACTACGGGAAAGTAACGGTAATCTAATTACCGTTTTTGCAATAGTAATCCCTTACTTTACTCGTTACTTGAAAAAAGTAATCGGATTACAGTAACACATTACTTGTAACATGTTACTGCCCATCTCTGTTTATGACCAGCTGCATAATATTGTTGGTGAAGACCTTGACTGGTCTGCAGCTCTGCAGCCCCATACACAACAAACTGTGTTGCTCTGACAACTTTCTACCAGAACCAGCATTAACTTTACAGCAATTTGAGCTACAGCAGCTTGTCTGTTGGACCAGACATCACCAGCCAGCCTTCACTCTGCCCATGACCCTGTCGCTGGTTCACCACAGTTCCTTCCTTGGACATTTTTTGATAGATCCTGACCACTGAAGAATGGGAAAACCCCATAAGATGCTCTGACTCCGTCATCTAACCATCACAGTTTGGTTCATGTCAAACTAGCTCAAATCCTTACACGTGCCCATTTTTCCTGCATCAACTTTGAGGACAAAATGTTCACCTTCTCCCTAATATCTCCCATCTACTGACAGGGCCAAGATGAGATAATTAGTGTTATTCACTTCACCTGTCAGTGCTCATATGTTATGCCTCAAGCTATGGTTTCACTACACTTGGAGCCTTATAGCTTTTTTTCTGCTTCTGGCTTAGTGGGACGTCACTGCGAGCAGATTTCCCTGATATCGCATGTCAAGCACGCAGCTCTGGCTGTGAGTGCAGGATTATATTAAACTTCATATAATGTAAAGATGCGATAATATAAAATACTGAGCTGGGTCCATTTTAGAGGGCCTAAAATTCTGTGCATCAGTGAGTGAACCGAAGTAGAAATGAAACTAAAGTCATCACAAAACGAGCCTTTTGATCAGCTCCAGAATGTGATGACACATAACATAAATAAAGATCTAATAATTGTTGGCGCTGCTCGCTTGGATGGTGATTTAACTTGTTTGAACATGTATAATGGCCGTGATGATTGCATAGTGACAAACCAGGCTATTACAAGGATAATTCTCCGGTCTGTCAACTCTAGATGTTGTATTGCATTGGACACTGCATTGCAAAGTGCTACACGGGCAGTGACGGAGCCCCAGGACTCAGTTCCTTGGAAGCCAAAAGAGAGAGAGAGACAGGAGTTGGGAAATTTTTCTTCCAAGTCTAATTCCAGCAGTGCAATACATTCATAAGCAATTAAAAACTCAGTGTTTGGATGCTTGTCTGCAACTCTTGCACTGGTAAAATAGACTGACAGTGTAATGTATATGCTGGAGTATCTGTGTAAAGGTTTTGCTAAGGAAAACTCAGCCTGTAGTACACAGTATACAACAGAATTGAATGCACGCATGTGCAGTAGCACTTTTAAGCAATCAAAAACAAGTAAAGACTATATTATAAATAAAGGACCTGAAGTCAGAGTGCACCGGTGTATACTTTAGCTTATTCATTCTCATTTGACCCCCTGCTGAGGTAAAAAAAAATATACACAAACAAAGCAAAGGGTCAACAATAAATACATCTATCACCCATGTCCAAACCCAGATACAATCGCTTTAAAAATTCACATTTAATAAAAATGTCTTTAGAGTTAAACAATGTCGTTATCTTATATGCATTTGGTCTCAATCTAAAATATACAGCAGATATATTTAATGATTATAAATAAATAATGAAATAATGATACTAATATCCAAGGTTTCCCAAGCTACAGAGTATGTGATTAACATATGTAACATAATAAAATCTGCCCCACCTACACCTCGCCAAATAACACCAAACCTAAACTATGCAAATTATTTTCCAGCTGGAACTGTCGCTTAAATAATCCAGAATGTAAACAGATACATGGATACACTCATATCACTTTTAAAACATGCCAGGTTTCCAATTTTGCCTCAGGATATCAGATATCCTTATGTCAAGTGCTGCTTTTATGTACTTGCCATTTACCACTCCAGTCTGTCCCCATAAATAAGAAAGTCCTACATGATCAAATATTTGCTTTACCTTCACAGCCCAGTTTGATATCAAGTGGGCCGGACCAGAACACTCTGTTTTCCTGCAGTGTAAAGACGTTTAACTACACATTTAATCTCTGCTACATCTTAATGTGGTAAAAGCAGAGTAGTGCATCCATTTTTGGACTCCTTCACATTTTTCAAAGTAGTCCCCTGGGCCAGATTGGAGTCTTTATTGAGCTTATTCTGGCCCTCAGGCCTTATGTGTGACACCTCTGATCTACACCAAGATCCAAGAAAGTCCTTGGTAAAACTAAAAACGCAGCTGCAGCAGTATTAAGGATGTACAAAAGCAGGTAAAGCACCACTAAATACAACCACAATGGCTGTCCGTCTGCAGTGATGCCACTGACAGTGCACTGCTTTCATCATCTACCTCTTAAAAACAAACTATTCAGAGCCGGCGGTATTCTTGTCTGTAGGAATATTTGTGACAGCTTGCTCTCAAATTAGCTGAAGAGCACGAACAGAAGCCTAACAAATACCAGGCGCAGGCTAAATGCTTCAGCTCAGAAGGGGTCCAGTATGTTTCTTGTGAACATGACCAATACATAGCGCAGAGGTTGGAGCGTGATGATATGGACCTGGACGAGTGCAAAAGGGAGACAACATTTATAGGCGGCACAGACAATGCCTGAATGCTGGCTGACAAGATGACTTCCGTCTCCTAAAGCTTGGCAGAAGATGAATATTCCAGCATAAAAAGGATCCACAGAGCTCTGCCAGAATCACACAAGAGTTTCTAAAGAAGGAAAATGTAAAAAAAAATAAAACCCAAAAAACTATTACTTGACCAAGCATTTCACCTGCCTTTAGTCCAATAAAAAACCTTTGGGGTGTTTCAGAAAAAGGAAAGGTGAGGCAGCACATCCTCTCCATCAAAGACGAGCAGGAGGAAGAAAAGAGTCTCTGAAGAATGGCAGAACATTTCTTCAGAAATTTGCACAATAGCAGCATGAAAAATAAAGGTGGACATAAGAAGTGTTGAAAAAAACTGCTTCAGATCTGAGCTCCTTTTGTGGGCCGCGTCTTTTTACTGCAGTAAACCTCAAACGGTGGTTCTAATTTTCAATAAGAGCAATTACCCCGCTCTTCAAATTGGTGCAATTATTTTGAGGTGATAACATTTTCAATCTTTTGACATCTACGTGCTACCGCAGAGCGATGCACTCGCTCCTGTTGTATACTGCGCACTCTCTCTGTGCCGCCTCACCCACTCTCGCTGGCTAGGACACTATTTGAGTGGGAGAGAGGAACAAATCTTGCCTGCCGGGCTGCTACGGCTGCTGCTTCCTATGTAGACCCACCCAGTGTGTCACAGCTGAAACATTTGAGAGTGAGGGTGGCAATTAGGCGATGCGCTCTGACAGATGTAATACTGGCAGTCACACAGAGCTGCCAATTTTCCAAAGAATTAGCAGATGGAAGAAGGTACAGGCCACAGAGAGTACGCATCAGAGGCAGTTCAGCCTGGAAAGCCTGCACTTTTATGAAAAAGTCTTGTTTACAAAAAGATGAGATTTGAAATCAGCAGCAGCAGCAACAACTGCTTAGATGTTAGGTATAATAGAAGTAAACTGTAACCTAACTCAACTAACCAACGAGGTAAAGCCTTGAAAGCTAAACTGCGGCATAAACGTAGTTTCTAACGGACAAGATTAAAAATTCTACTGAGATAAAGTCGACCTGTTCCACTCTCAGGAGGCTGCAGCTGACAGACGTGTACATCAGCCGCCTCTTTATCTCCAGGATGACTGATCCGTGGGAGACATGAGGACATCCAGCTGCACCGAAATGTTAATAAGACAGTGTGCTAAGCGCTTTCCCCCCTTTTCCCCCTTAAAACCCACCTTCCAAAAAAACAGGAAGAAAAGTCTTTGATTGAAAAATATTCACAAAGCATTACAACAGAGAAAATACTCGACCATTGTGACATCCCTAATTGTTTCAGCACAAAAAGGAAAGCACTCCAAATAAGTACTTAAGAGATTTCTGTTTTTCTAAGAGGCTCAGAGGTTAGAGAAGCAGGCCAGTTTTTCATTGGGCCTTTTCAGAATAACTGCCTCTGTCTGCCTGGTAATTAGTGCTGTGTGTGTGTGTGTTTGTGTGGGCGAAGATTTAAAGTCCTTCTAACCTGGCATGTGTGTCTCTGAGGGCTTCTCTGTAAAAGAAATAATGACATCTCCATTAAATCGGCCGTATTTAGCAATTACTCTGCAATCTGACCGGTGAACCCTGAACACCGTGTACTGTGAGCCTGTAAGTGGATTGTGTGATTTGACCCCCTCTCTTCACTGGTATTATTCAGTAATATTTATGTCATTTATCTACACAGTGTGAGCCTGGACGAAACACAGGAGTGCCATGAGACAGACGTGTCCGCAGGAGCTATTTAAGTCGTGACCTTTCTCTTGCAGAGCAACCTGACATTTAGACCACTTGACAACATGGCAGTGGACCTTTGTGCAAACAAAACTCACAAGATGCTTGATATGGTATGTGCTGATTTCAGCCAAACAGAAAGAAATGTCTGCTGGCAAATAGTTTTTGGTTCAGAAGAATTTTTTTTTTTACAAAGTCACTTTTGTCTTGCTACAGTCATTCAATGGGAGAAACAGTTTGACAGGCCTTCTGTGTCTGGTAACTGTTAGACCAAGTTACACCCATAGTCTGTATATAAAAGATGGATGCAGCTGTTGAACTTCTGCAAAAATCCCTTAAACCCAATTCTTTCTACTGGAGTAGACTCCTTTGGATGCACAAAGGAATCTTTTTTTAGTACTTAGGGATGAGTTGATTCTTGTTCTGTAACTTACTGTAGGTAGTATTGTGATTTTCACTTAAATAGTTTATATGCTTTACTAAGTCTGAAAGGTGAAAAACAGGTTTTTAATGCAAAATGATGTTTAAACTGTTGCTTTTATGTAATACATCTATATAAACACAGTTCTTTCCTCCACTAACTTTCTATATTGTGTTCTTGTGTGCCCCCACTCCTTTGTTCTTGGTCTCCCTCTGTGACATACATTAAAATGCCACTTCAAGGAAGTTACCCGCATCTTTAAAATACAGTCTATTAATGACTCAGGGAAGGTTTCAGCAGTCACTTGTACCATTATCTCTTCACGTAATGATAGTAAGCCAGCAAGATGTGACAAACTGATTTGTCCTTAATGTCGACTTCATTTAAATCAAATTTTATCCTTAGAAACTCACTTGTATTGTGCCTGGAAATGCTCCTGGACAAAGCTGTGCTGGACTCTGGGCTGCTGTGACTGGGATGGATCAGGAGACGGCACTTCCTCAGCTCCAACAGGGCCCTGCGGCACAAAGGAGGCCACACATAAACACAGAAAGTCTATCCCATTCTCACATTTATTATATATATACTGCAAAAGTTGTTAGGCATTGTTAATGAGACAGCAAATGTGTACTTTAAAGGTAAATTGAGTAAAATATCACCAGTAGATGTCAGTAGATTGCAGACAACCACCCATCGAATTCTGTTGTTTTGTTTTTTTTACCCCTTCCTAATTCAAGTGTATAATCTTAGCTATGGGGGATGATGTAGGACAAACAACCTCGGTTGCCATCCATCTGTAGTGAACTGTTATGTGTCCATATCTATCTACTCTGGAAGAAGCTGTAAAACCTTGTGAAAGTAATCTGAAGAGATAGTGAAGCTTAGTAGCAACAGCTAATGAAACTTTCTTTGAAGTGGATCCAACATTGTTGGATTTGGACGCTTAATAAATAAACTCTCATACGATGTGAGAGTGTAATCAACCTTTTTGAAGGAAAGTGTGATTTTTTTTCTGTTAGCTAACAACCAGCTGTTTTTTTTTTTTAGCTAACTTTGTGTCAGATGCCCGAAGACAGGATGGTTGCATGTCTAATTTTCTGAGTAACTGTAAAAATACCAGGAATAAATCAACATGTTTACGCACGTTTTTGTGTGCTAGAGCTCTGACTTCAGTTTAGGAGACGAGGCTTGAGGTAAGGAGGAAGTGGATGAGGTGGAAATGAAGGAGGAAACAGAGCAGCGTTAGAGGAAGAGAAAGAAAATATACTGTACATGTACAAATGTTAAACAGCCGATTAGGTGTTAATCGATGTCCATCTCGGTCACTGAACAAAGGCATTTGCACATTTTTACTTTGCTTTTTAAAAAACCTTTAAAAGAGCGCTTCGTCCTAAATATAACCCCTTCAAGAAGCCTTTATTTTTATTTTATCAAATTCTTACAAATGGGAGGAAGCTGGCCTTGGATGGAGATAAAAGTAGAGAAGTTTAAAAAAAGGAGTGAGCAGCCAAAGAATTGCAAGGTCACACTAAATGTGTGGGATGAAACACGCTGGGAGGATCATAAGCAATGCTGACGACACAACTATGCGAACAAACTTCTGCATCAGTTTGCAGATGAATTCATGTTTTCCTAATTACAAACCATAAGCAATAAACATTTGAATAATGTGCCTTTCACTTCATAATGCTGCCAAAATGTATAGATCTGTTTGGCTGTGTGCGTAAACCAAAGTCATGTAGCGGGCTGAGAAGAACACAGTAGTGTTTGTTGTGCTTTAATGCCTAGTGCATCATATTTGATACACAGAAAGAGACTTCTGCATCATCAGTGTAATCCCCCCCATGAAAAACCTCAATAAATGACACAATACATTAGAAAAAAAGAAAATATGAAAATCGTTTTTTAAAATTTGTCAGCAGGTTTAGTAAAAACTCAGTACACTGAATTTTCTGGCAGTTATTTGATGGTTTAGGCTTTAAAGGGGTTAATAGTGACACACTTTAACTAAAATTTAAAAGTGCTGAACGTTATGACACGTAGTCACACAGTGATATTTCTGTGCTGTATTGACTCATTCACACCTTTTCAGGCAGGGGAAAATAAAAGCTGGAAAACATTCTTTAAGTGGTTCTGCTTTAAAAGGGCATAATGTGGCATACAGACCTGCTGCTAGCATTCCTCTGCTCACACGCTATCAGTCCCACAATAGCCTGGTGTAAAAAGTCAGGTACTTGAGACTGCATTAAGTCATCATATCATCTCGGTGCTTTTTACGCCGGGCTGGCAGAGCCAAATGGAAATGCACTCTCTGAGCCTTCTCTGTTGACCCACACTCTCGCTCTGTTTACTATTCCTCAAGTTTCTAGCTACTGGTCCCGTACTGGCTGCCGCTGTTCCCAGGCTGGCAGCTCGACCATGACGTCCCCTCACAAAGTTAAAAAAGGGGGTTTTGAATTTCTAAAGGGGAGAGGGAGGTGGAGGGTGTGTGCGTTTGTTTGTCTGTGAGGTGCACTCAGAGTAACGGAAGACTCCTTTGCAGTTTGCCAGCATTTCCAAATGCTGACTCTATTCTTCTGAAAGCATTTGAGCTCACAGAGACCCCAGCCTGAAACCTGACCACCCTGCTGCACTGTGCTTTAAGAGGAGCACAATGACAAACCTCTACCTCCTCTCTTTTCATGGAGTCGAGGAGCTTTCGTATCTTCCTGTCACGGGAGGATTAACCAAAAGCGGAGGTTCAACACGGCTGATCTTCCAGTTACCGCTTTATGTACAACAACCAGTGAGAGCTTGAGAGTGCAGCCTGTCGTGCATTTGCATTTCGAGCTGACATCAAGCGCAGCATTCTACTCCCTCTTTTTCTTCCACATGCTTGCTAATGGATTCCACTGCTATCTTTATGGAAAGATAAAAAGCAACACCGAGGCCACAGAGTTCAAACACAGTTGGTCTTATCACCTCTCTGGAAACCCATGCCCTGCCGTGTCAGTAGACTGCAAGGTGTTAGATGTGTGCTAACAGTAGCTGTTGACGGCGTGGACATTTAAACACAGTGAGGAAGTGGGGGCAGCTTATGCGCCTTCTGATATGGGGTTCTGAAGAGTTATCTAAATGATCGTGGTCAGATATCAGTTCCCACAGAGGAAGCTGCGTCTGCTGCTGGTTTAAGAAATTGTTTTACAGGTTGGGAAATGACCCCAGCAGAACAGGGGGGCCATCTCAAGGGATGGCATGCACAAGTCTGAAATTGAGATGCTATCTTTGAAATTGCTTGTCAGAAAAATGTGCCATCTTTCAACCTGATAAAACTGTAACTAAACAGACAGGCAACAGAGAGAGAGAAAAAAATCCACCCAGCTATTTATAGAGCCACGAAGGAAAAGAGAGAAAAAACCCCGATATAAAATGTCACTACTTTTCTGACACTTACCTTTCAGTATTTGAAGCAAACACACACACAAATGTTCCTTACTCTTTACAAATGTTTTCATTTTGCTTGTGTCTCATTACGACATTTGTGACAAGCAGAGGCTCATCCAAGGGGAAACTGTTTTACCAGTCCAGTTTAATTTTATTTTATTTACACAGCTGCTTTATATTGTAAGGTAAAGACTCGACAATAGTACAGAGAAAACCCCAACAATCTGATGACCCGAGCACTTGGTGACAGTGGGAAGGAAAAACTCTCTTTTAACAGGAAGAAGACTGCAGCAGTGATAAGGAGTCAGGCTAGCAGCATTATGGCTTTCATTTGTACATGTACAGTAGAATTACTGCTTTAAAGTCTCTTTTGGGTTGGTTTTGTGTTTATACCTAAAAAATATATAAGAAAGATTACTTGTGTATTCTCATTGGGACAGGTATGTAGAACTGTAGCCTAAGGTTTATATAGCTATAATGAGGGAATGAGACAGCAGGAGAGCATAGCTGGGAGTAATCACGTACAATAAGACCGTGAGGAAGCAAAGCTGAAAACACTAACATAGCACATGAGACCGTCAAAGTAAAACAGGAAACATGAGACAGGCACAGAGACACGGACTTGACACTGAAACGATGAGAAGCACAGACATGAAAGCATAACTTGATTAAACGTGACAGAAGGAACACAGGGGAGACAGAAACCTAAAGACTAGAAATCACCATAAATACTAAGGAATAACTAAAAGAGCCAGAAATACAACACACTGAGAAACCACTAAATCACAGCGCACTGGGTCACCAGACCCCGGACATGTCAGGCATTAATGTTCCACCATTAACATTACTGTTAGTATTAACTGTGGTCTTCAATAGAGAAAATATGTGTAGCTATAGTTTCTTTTTATTGGAAACAACATTGCTAAGAATTGAAGTCAGATTGAAGTCATTTCAATCTGGGCTACCTTTTAACAGCAGGTTCCCTCGTGGGGCTAGTGCTGACCTATCACTGGTGGCAGTGCTTCTAACGTTACTGCATCCCTGTGGCTGTTAGGCTGCTGTTACACACTGGGTCTTCATAGTTTTACATGGTAACACAAGAAGGGTGGTATCACCCCACCCTTCTTGTTGCAACTGACCAGTCATATATCTGTGATATTGTAGCCTTGTAACTGTGTGGACAAATACAATAACATGGCTTGTCCCTAAGTAGAAGTAGGATGAAAAAAACACAGGGTCATGGTGGATATGTGGGCCACACATGAGACTTTCACCCAGAAGAATGGAGCTTGTGTCCTGCGTCAAACTTGAGGTCAATGATAGTTGTTTTGTTTTTTCAGTTTGACTCAGTATAGCCACCAAAACTACCTGAATAGATTTTGAAAATAAAATCCTGGATGAAAATTTTCTTCTGTTTCTTTGATGTCTTGGGAATGAGAATGTGTTGGGAACACAATGTAGCGCGTTTTCAATCCAGATCTGTTTGAACTGGTGAATTCTGATGCATTTTCATTGTGAAGACTGTTAATTTAGCTGGACCAAAGGGAAAAGGAGAGTCTCAGAGTGCATATGGACTTTGTTATGGATACTTTAAAGTAAATTCTTTTGATTTTGGCACACTAATCCAATATTAAATTAATCTGGTAAGGGGAACTCCAAAGAACTGGCCCCTCTGACTTATAGAGTCAGTCAGAAGAAGAACACTGCCAAGAACAAACTAAGTTGCTAAGCAGAGAAAAGACCCCAAAATGAAATCGAAATAAAAACCAAGGCCAGTCATATCTACAAAAGCAACACTGGGAAATGTAAACACAAAAATGTGCAGCTGCCAATATCCGAGATATGTAAAGCCTGAGAATTGTCTACCTCTGCTTAATTCAATAAGCCTCAATGCCAGGAGAGGGGCATGTGCCAGTGCCTGAGGAGCAAGGAGTAAATTAAAACTCAAATCCCTCACCCTGGCACCTTGGAGTGCTGTAATTGATTTCTGGGATTTAGATAAATGACAAAGATACGGCACGCAACTGAGTGGTGGGCTGGAGGCCGGCCGCCAGCTCAGCACTGTCAGCAGGAGGCCAGAGTTCACGAAGTGTG